GCCACGGTGCCACTGAAATTGACCCTCAGGCTTCCAACCTGAGCTGCTAAATGGGGTCCCAGGTGCGAGCAGCGTCCCGCTGCCGTGACACAGGCCCTGTTTTTGGCAAGGTCGCTCCTGAGGTGATTGAGGACATGCTGATCCATTTGGCCACGGAAAATGAGAGGTTCCTGAGCGAGCTGTCGGATCAGGCCGGATGCTTCAAAGAGTCACAGATAGTGGGTGAGACTTTTTTCTAACTACAGCTGACTCCTGAGATGATTAACAGCTTTATAATGAGGTTCAGGTCACTGAAGTGAGTGTTGCACTTTTTTGCAGAATTTATATTCCTCTTGTCTGAAAAATGGCACTTGGGCCAATCAGCAAGGTACCAAGCGGTGGAGTTACTTGAAAGGTAATAAACACCCTGAGTGTTCGGTGCTTTTCTGACTTCTCTCACGTGGTTACGCTGTGTGTGCTCTACACCACTCCTTCAAGCAATGTCTAATGTTTTTTGCGTGTCTAGAGCTTTGTCTCTTTACTCATTTAATTCAAGTTAACAGCTGTCCATGTATGCTGGTTACACACAGAATTGCTTTTCTTCCTTTTTCTTAGCAGAAGAGAACTGTTTTCTGAGCAATTGTGGGTTTTGTAGGTTTATGATCAAGCAAGTGGAACAAATCTGCAACTCCTCCAGAGAGAACGTTAGAAGTGGTGAACGAGGGCAAGGGAGCAGCCGGAGCTCTCTGCAGGATCAGATATACAGCACGTTTGTCCTGCGGCTTGTGTCGTGCGTCCAGCTTGCCAGCAAGCTCTCCTTGCACTACAATGTGAGCCACCTAAACCTTTTCTTGTCACGCTTTTTAGCAGTGTAGTTAATTACGTTGTATATTAATCTCTTAAAAAATTATTTCCTCTTTGAAAGACAATAGTGATAATGAAATGCAAAGGATACTGAAAGAGAGACTGCAATCTCTTCCATTTAGGGCAGGTTAATTGCCGCTCATCAGGTAACAATTTGTCAGGAAATATTCCCAGTACTGGTGAAAAAGCCTGGGCAGTGGGAAAACTCGGCCTGTGGTCGTCGAAAGTTGTCTGGCTCCGAGGGGGTCGTGCCTGTCCGGGGAAGGTTCATGGCACAGAGGAAACCTGCGGGAGGGAAGGTTGGAGCTGGATTTCTTGTGCCGGCTTACAGGACAAGTCAGGCAGCGGGGCCAGCCGGCAGCGCCGCGGCGGTGGCTCGTGCTTAGACTCCAAGGGAGGAGTAAAGCAAGGAAGTGCTTTGCTCTGAGCAGGCACCTTATTGCCTCGAAGGTAATTTGTCTGTTTTCCTCTTCAGATAGTTAACAGCGACACAGCTCTCAAATTTCTGCAGTCCTTGAAGTACTCCTACACCAAACAGGAATTGCTCGAGTCGGAGCTCGTCATTTTAAAAACTCTGCACTTCCAGATCGAGGTGTCAACTCCTTTGGCTTACGTGGAATTGCTTCTCGAGGTTTTAGGTAAGAGCACCAATAGGAAGGAAAGAGGTTTTTTAAAAGCGTAGTAGAGCTATTGCTGACCTGAACCAAAATGCCTTGTACTACAGGGTTTTGCACACTGTGCAGGCACACCAGACTTCCCGGATTGTCCAGGGCTTTACTTTCCAGATGAGAATCTTGTCCTTATTAGAATCTGATGAACGTTGTTGGACAGCCAGTCGTGCCTCATTCACGAGGAGTTTAGAACCCCCAAAACCTCGTGTAAGGACACATTTTCTACAACAACCCGCCATTTTCCTTGCCCAGGTCTTATAACCTGAATTTCAGAATGAGTGAAATAATGAGGAGATAGAGAAAGCCTGTGGCCCCAGGCCGAGGCATTCAGAAAGGGCAGTTGCCACCAGAAACCCTCATCCCTCACTCACGGCAACTAACACTTCATCCCAGTTCAGTTCAAGGGCTGAGTGTGGCTGATCCCGTGTGATCTCTGTGCTAGGACACAACGGCTGCCTGCTTCCTGCAGAACCGTTACACCAGATGTGTGTGCAGCTCCTGGACTTCTCCTACCTCACCAGAGACACCATCTACGGCACTCTGTTGAAGATTGCCATCGAGAATTCGACACCAAACCAACTGCAGGTGTAAGTAGTTTACCTGACTGTTACTGAAAATAACTATTTGAAATTACAACCCTTAAAAAAGCGAAGAAGTAGTGGCATAATGGGAATTATGCTCTTTTGGGGGCTTTCAGCATTATTTATTGATCTTAACATAGCAGTTCAAAGCAACATGCTCTGCCATGTGGGCTTTAGGGGTGAGCTAGGAAGTGCTGGAGTTACTTAATTGTAAAGCCAGCTTTAGCACTGCCCGGGTTAACCGCCTCGGGCGTTATTTGGGCTGAACAAGCCCACGTGCCCGTAGGCTGTGTAGCGGTTACAGAAGAGCTTTTGAACGGCAAAGCTGGCAGCGTTTTACACCAAAAGACGCTTTTACTTCTGCAGAACAAAGTTTTTGACAGTCAAGGAAGATTTCATGCTCCTGGCCGTGGGAATCATCAGCACAAGCGTGTTCATACTGAGCACCGGGCACTGGCAGCAGGTACAGTCGCTCTGAACGCGTTGGCTCTGCAGGGAGAAAACGCGGGGGCTGTGTGTGTTCCAGCACAGCGAGGGGAAGGCAGGCTCTGCCGGGAGGGGACATCTTCCAGGCTTTTGGCAGGAAGCGTGTGCTTTGGTGGGAGCGTGACGAGGCACACGGGCCATCCTGCAGGAAGGCTTCTGCTCGCACAGGGCGAGCGCGTCCTCGCTTCAGCCAGGACAAACCCCGCAGGCATTTCACTGGCTGGTGGAGAAGCAATCCCGTGGGACAACTCGCTGCCCAAATGGCTACTGAGCGCTGCCGCAAACAGCCTACTGCGTCTCGCTTCTGTAGTGGAAGCAATTGAATTGAAAAAAACCCAACAAAACCCAAACCAGCTCTTGCTGAAGTGTGCCCGTGGAGCACGTGGAGATTTGGAGGAGCAAGAAGTGTCTGTAAACTCGCGTCTCTCGGGCGCTGTAAGGAAATATTTTCATTTTTATTTTTTTTTAAGGTGGTGGAGCACTTACACCGCATCACTGGCATTACTTCGCAAAGTATCTTGGAGTTCTCTTACGCGGTGCTGAAACACGTCGTGGGCGGTAGCGCTCCGAAGCAGCACCGCAGGGACGGGGGAAGGACGGCTCCCGGGGACAGAGCTGTGTCTCTCAGATAGAGCCCTCGGGGCCCGGCGCTGCCGGTAACAGCCCATCGTCTGCGCCACGGACGGGGCATCAGCGCGGCCTGGGTTTGCTTTTGGTGTGGGATGGCGGGTGCTCTGCCACACCGCGTGTGCTGGGTGGTTGTTGGGGAGCTCGGCCTGGGGCGGCGCGCCGGCACCGCGAAGGGAGCAAAGCTGCGTCTAGAAACCCCTCTTTCTGCACCCAAAGCTTTACTGCAAGAGCTGCATCTTCTAAGCTCTGAATGCAAGTTGTGTGTGAACCAAGAGAAACTCCCAGCCCTGTTTGAGAAGGCGTTCACCTGCACGGCACTCTGCCTGGTGCCCTGTGGCGAGAGGCAGCTCCCCGGCCCTCGGTACGGCCAGGGCAGGGCCGGCTTCTCCCCCTGCTGCGTTTGACAGAGCGTGTTGTCCCGGGCCCCTGCGGCAG